ACACACACACACACACACACACACACACACACACACACACACACACATAAGGACACACATTTCAAACTATCTAGATGACTTTTTGTTTAGTTTTATGTTTTCCTTGTTTCCAGTTATTATTTCCTGTCTTATTTTGGTATACACCTCTCTCATTTCAGATACTTCACTTCCTGCCCTCGTGTGATTGTCTGCCTCGCCCTTGTCCCTCGTTAGCCCTTCTGTCACCTGTCCCTCGTTATCACCCTCCTTTCATTGGGTATATATCTATGTGCTCCCCTTTGTCTGTGCCATTTTGACTTAGCTATTCATAGTTTATGTCCCAGCGTTTTATTCCCCATGACTTCCTAGTGTGGATTAGATCTTGCTTCATTATATTCACACTCAGCAGTTTGCCTGCTGTTTTTGAATACTGTTGCCTGGTTTTGGACTGAACTGCAGTGTACCAAACCCTGTTTTCTGGTACAGACTATATATTTCATCTGCCCTGTGTTCGGAGTCTTGCTTTTGAGTCCATTGTCTGTTGGCACCAGTGTTTAAACATGTGATGTGTTATATCTATTTATGTGCATTATTTTCTACACATTTCCCCCAAATTCAGTCAGCCACAATTGGAATATTTTGAGATATAAACACCATTCTTCCAAAAGAAAACCTTAATTCAATTGAGATCCGCTGACCGTAAAGGCCACAGCATCACACCATTTCCGTACTGATAAAACATTCAGTGTGCACTGTATGCAAGTATTTAATTCTAATTATTTCTTTAACTGGTCACTTGTCAACAAACTATTAGTGTAATATTTTTAATAATATGACCCTGTGAGCCATTTCATCCAGTCCTTTGCTCAATAATACTATAAACTGCGTAAGGAGATAGACTCCCTTGGTATTGGGTGAAGAGAGCGAAAGAGAGGGGGGGAGAGACACTGGGCAGCACGCTATTGAGAGTGCTCTGTAGTAGTCTTTGAGGTTATAGATAATTAGACAGAAGCAGACTCTAAAAGCTGCTATTAATGACGATCTCCAAAGAGCGCTGCAATTTCAATTTCTCAGTCACTGCATTACTTTGAACAATTTGATAAACAAATAATCCACACAGAGGATGTGTTAGGAGTCTCAGCCACACAACACACATCTTGTGAGGGTCAAATGTGAAGATGTGGATGCTATGTTGCCTCCCTACGTGCTGTGGAGACATGCAAACTATATAGCGTGAAGTTGGTGCACTCGTCTTGTAAAGTAAAAGTATGTTGGACGTGTGACGGGCCAGACACGGGGAGCAAAGATGGCGTGATGGGAGCCACGGCTCCTTGGAGCATACTGATGAGAGGAGGAGGGAGGGGGAGGACAGCGAGGAGAGAATATGTCTTCTGTTGTTCCCCAGCCTGCAGAATCAATAGCTGACTTGAGCATAATGCAAGCCCTCTGTGGTTCCGGCTCTGTGCGGAAAACAATGGCATTCACAGGGTCCTGCCACGTCTCTTCTTAAGGCAGCGTTCCGCTCCGACTTGTCACAAACACCCTGTGATCTGACCTCACCCATCTGCTGAGGGATTCGTTATGCAACCTTCAGAACGTTATGCACTATATGTGGAGTCACGTTAAGGAGGAGGAAGCCCCTGCTGCAGAGAGACGGTCAGGATGGATTTTTTAAATCGATCATTAAATATAGAATGGTTTGTTGGAGGGGTCATAACTATTACAGCCCAAGGTGGTATCTTTTAATAAGCTTGTTTTGTCGGACCAACAGTCCAAAACCTGAAAATATTGAATATACAGTGATATAAAAATGGACAATTAGCAAATCCTCCAATTTGAGAAGCAGGAAGCAGTTCATGTTTTCCATCATCATCATTATGCATCTCGTCCTTGGTTGAATCTCCCACAAGCAGCTCACTTCATCATGATACGCCTCCGGGCTTTATGTGCACAGTAAAACCACGATGCATACCAACTTGAATTATTTGCCCGTGGCGTGAGCTTGACCTGATGTTCAGCTGCTAAAAAGTCTCCCAACTCAGGATACAGCCTCCCTCATACGAGAGTGAAGCCACGAGAAGGTATGCTTACTGCATTCTCCATGTGAGGAGCCGCTGCAGTCTGGCCATGAAATCAGTCTCATCTGGCTTTGAGCCAGCAGCACACGTTCCCTCTGTCACTTCAATTGGCACACTGGAAGCTCTGCGGGCAGGGAGTCCCGAACAAACAAGTGACAAGAGTAAACGTCACATGTGGTTCATTGTTTTTTCCTTGTATCATTTATATTTTCTCTACAGCTGGAAGGTATACCTCTGGGAACACTATTTAATACTTTATATATATACACTATACTTTGCACACTTTTGAGTGTCAGGTCTGAACCAAATAATTGAGATATTTCTCACACTGCTGCTGGATTCCCAACATCGGGTCAGCAAACAATCTAGCCCCAGTATGTGCACACAAACAAAGACTGATAGGGGAAAGCAGCAAAACAAAGTTAGTGAGACACATATTTACAAAGAAACAACAGAAAAGGGAGGCAAATCAGCCATGTTCATGCCTTGTATAGCGCAGTGATCTGACCTCATTAAATTCGTTTTTGAGGATCAAAATCTCACAAATTGCATGAGCACAGACGAGTGAAACCATATGGGAGCCTCGATGGAGCCTAAATGGGTCATGTGGAGACTGGAACTGAAAATCAGTCTGACACCAAAAGAGAAAACATCAAGTGACTTCTGTCCACTTAATTCTAAATTTAAAAAGGGAAACAATTTTACACATGAAGTTCAGTTTACTCATCGCACAAAGTACTACACAGCCTGTGAAAACTGTTTTTATGTGGTTCTGGTGAAATAACTCTGATGAAGTCATTAAGGTCATTTCATAATCCTGCATTATAAACTGGAGGTGCAGGCTTTGACAGATAATATGCATTTAAAAGGCAGGAATTTCGAATGAAAAATGCTGTTCAGTTGCATTATGGGAAATTTAGGAATCCAGTGTTGCACTCATACCAGCGACTAAAAGTCAGGTCACCTCATCACATTAATGCAAACTAAATTATGTGGATCCAATATCGCCATGAAGTAGTTCTACTCACTGACTTGTAACAGTATCCACTATGTTATGTTGGAGGTTGTGAGTGGATAATTACATCTGTATGATTGGTATGACAAAATCTCTGATCAACTCATGGGACATATTGTCCCTAGTAGTCCATGTATTTACTTATAGGCGTCAAAATACAGATATATATCGCACAGTCAATGGTTTTCAGTGTAAACAACTCTGCATCATCACATTTTATAGATGGGCTCATCACTCACTATCTTTCCATCGTCTCTCTCTCGCATTTCATTTCCTCTTTCCCTCTGCTGAATCTCCCCCAGCCCCTTTTTGTTCTCAACTAGAAATGTCACTCCTACCGTGAAAAGTGAATTCAGCTCCCGAACTGTTGAGGCTCGAGTGTGACGTCGCCACTGAAAAATAAACTCATAACTCTCCTTTCGTTGTTTGTCTAAAAAATGATGAGAAGAAAATGCTATATTTCATCCAAATGAGGCATTACTCAAGTTGATGTTCAGTGATGTCTGCAGAGATATGCAGAGAAAGCTCACTCTGCTACCAGCTGAGTTTGGATTTGTGTCTGCACAATAACAGATTCATACGGTTTACTCCAAAGGCAGGGGGGCGAGGGGAGGATTCAGCCCGGAGAACACTTTTGGTGCAGAAATACAAACAGATACAGACTGCTGTGGAGATTGTCCTGCAATAACAAACCATGACTGGACTATTTGACAACCACAACCAGAGTTCTGCTGTGCCCTCTGGACAGCTTCCGACTTCTTCGCCGACTTTTAAAAGACTGCCCCCAAGTGAGTTTAGTCTCATTTGGAATAATCATGATCCGCTGTGCTACACCAGTGCTGCATCTTACCATTTCATCAGAGATTTGTGAGCATTTGCATCCACGATGGATTGGAAATTAAACGGTAAGAGGATTTTTGAAGATACAGTATATGTCATAGACCAAGTCATCCCTGATTGAAATGGCAGCAACAGCACATACTGTACCGCAGTCTGAGACCTATGCTGACAAAATTCAGCTAACACCGTCGGTTCCACAGGGGCAGAAAAGCGGCTTTTCAATTTAAACCAGATTAGTCAATAAAACATCACGTCCATTTTGTTTTCCCGCCACACAGGGAGCGATGCTATACGCTGTCCAGCAGGAGTGGAGCACCTACTCTTGTTTTCCATGTGACAAACAGTATTGAAGTGCTTGACTTATACTGCACACCGCATTTTACACAAGTGTGATGCTGAGAAAATATTCTCACAATCAAAAGTAAATTATTCATTGTAAAGGATGTGTCTGTTCAGTGTTTAATGATTGTTGCTCAAAGATGCTTTTTGTTTAGTTTAAGCAGCAGAAAGTCGTGATCGCGGCCTTAACAAACAAAACATTGTAGTGACTTTAAAGGCTTTAAATACCGCTGGCATGTTTATTCTCTTCACTGCATCAAGTGGATGAGATCACTGTAGGTTTGATATGTAAAACCCTGTTAGTTCAAATGAATCAGTAACTGCAGCTGTAGATATATATATTACATTTGTTCATGCAGTGCTGTGGAGGGAGTTTTGCAAATGTGAGTACAGCCAGATTGCATGTTTTTTCTAGTAATTTCGAAGTAACACGCAAAGCTTGAAAACGTGTTTACGAAAGCCAATACTCTAAATAACAGTACTTCCACCCTGCAATGCCCAATACTGAATGTAAACACACACGGAGGGGTAGCATCACTCCAAAACATGCAGCGTATTTGAAAAGGGGAGTTGGTGGAAGTAACTTATTGGAACACAATAAAAACATCACTTTCACAGGCCTGGATAAACGTTCTCCTCCATTAACTCCATACACTGTGTGATATTTAGATATAAAAAAAAAAAAGCCTACCTGACAAGCCAGAGCTGAGTCGCTGGCGTTAAGCTCGCAGCAGCTGTTTGGGGAAACCCTCAAGCCTGCCACACAAATCACAATAGTAATGTAGCGGAGTGAAAGGTCTCACACCATAAATAGTTCTACATTCAAAACAATGCTTAAGTTAAGTATTTGGACGTGAATGCATTTAGTTACTTTGCAACTCTGATTTATATTTGCGAAATGGAGACATGCACCTTTTAATGTGATGAGTGATGCATCTTTCATAAGAAGCATCCAATCAGCTATAGTATGACTTCGATAAGTGATTATAACCTATTCTTCAGAATGGTCACTCAATCAAATGATGATGATGGTGATGATGATGATGATGATGGTTGTGGCAGCTATGGCAGTCCTGCTTCCACCTCACCTCTCACCGCGACTGTCACCACAAACCTGCCGCCACCAGAGCACCAATGACATCATCGCCATCATCTTCATCGTTATCCGTCCTGAGCGCGAGCTGCCAGACAGCATCATCACCTTTTTCCTCCCTGTGCTGCAGCTACAGCGCGCGCGCACACATACATCCGCACACATACATACATACATAGACAGGACGGAGACTCCTGACACAGCTCGGACCTGAGAGGCGAATCTCTCTTCAACATCCCCGCACTCACTCCCTCGCTGACCGCAGTCTCTATCTCATTAGACCGGATTAAAAGCCTGACTATGAATGGACGTCGCTCCAGCGCATTTAGTCCACTGAACTATCACACTGGGGTCAAAGCAGGCGCATAAAAGGCTACACGCTGTACCTGTTTATCAGGACGACCGGAGGTACAGGAAAAGCTTTCCCAGGTTTACCAGCTCACCGGGAAAATAAAAAAGCCCCCCCAAAAAACAACAACTGATCTTTAAGAGCAACAGCGAGAAGATGTCTGGTTGACAAGTTAAAATGAACCGGTGGATGTTGCATTTAAACGAAAGCCGGTTGGTGTAATTACATCCTGGTGCGCGCAAACACAGTACATTGACATTAGGATGGAGGTATTCCCTGCCTCTCGGTGCAGCATCGAGCGGAAATCTCACAGAAATCTGCATCGTAAGCGAATCCAGAGCCGTAAACGACCTGCAAATTGATCACGTACCTTCATTGCACCTCCCGTTTGAGGAATTTGCCGAGTAATGTCAGGACGACGACCATTGCAAATGCACAGGGACTCAAACCATTACGTCTTCCCTCTCTCCAGCTGCCTGTGTGTGTGTGTGTGTGTGTGGAGTAAGCATAACGTAATGGCACAGGGAGCCGCAGCCAACCACAGAGCGCACACGGGCGCTGGTATCTTTAGCAGCCAATCCGCCTCAACACATCACCGGAGTGGGCGTTCAGTGCCGTGCGTCCAGACGCATGTGTGAGCGCGACAGACGCATCATGCTATTTGCACAGCTTCGGTTTATTCTAGTGAATTTTTTTGGACACAGAAACACTTTCTTATAATAAAATAAGTTGCTCGCTGCATCAGACATGACACACTTTTGCATTCAAGTGATTTTTTTTAAAATTTTATTTCACAAAAAAAGATTCTGCACTATTGATTTTGTTGCAAAAATGTGTTTTTGTTTCATGAATTTGAGGATTTGTTTTTACCCCCCATGCTCTTACTTCAATCACCTGAGGCATAACCTGAGATCACCCTCTGCACCAACACATGTTGTGTTATTTGACGTGTGTGTGTGTGTGTGTGTGTGTGCATGTGTGCATGTCTGTGACGCGTGTGCACACACACACACAGGGCTGCTGTCTGCAGTAAAGAGATTAGAGGTTTTTTTTTTCTTCCATCACATGGTTGGTACCGCTGTGAGCCCGCAGGGGGCAGCAGACAGCGCTGCCACATCATTATTATCATTCAGACATAACTGAGCCTCAGGGGGAGGAAGGCTGCTCATGCTGTTCATTATGTTCTTACTGTATTATAGTACAGCTGAAATTACAAGGTATGCAGCTGTTGCAACATTAGAGCAGGACACACACAATACATTTAAGGTGTGATAATGATGCAGACAGAGTATCCTGTTGCAGCATGAGTCTCTTTAAAGTCTCTGCCATTTCCAGTACATCAAACAGTGACCCTACTATGTTGATTTTATTTCACAGAACCACATTAAAAGATCTGTGGAGGCCCCCGGGCCACCAGTGACACACTTTGGAGCTTTAGACTTGGCCTGAATTTTCTTCCACAGTGTTCAAACATCAAAGTTGTATTGGATGATGGACTTGTGCAAACTCTTTCTACCATTTGAAAAAATGCAGACAAATTATCAGTAAGATGGATACACATATCCATCTGTGACATTTCTGTCAAATACAGTGACAGTAATTCAAATTATGTTTGTGTTGCTAATCATTGAAAAAAAATCAACTGCAACATCTTTTTTCTTTTTTCAGAAACAGTGTCCTAATTTCTCTGGATAATCCACAGAGCTCAATGCCATCAGTTTTCATAGAGACGATGTCTTCAGTAGAAAGTAGATCCAATGAAAACTGTCAGCGAATAATCTGTAGTAACTGGGACACTGTTTTTCAAAAGATACCTTGATGCTTTGAACACCACATGAAATCCCCTTAACTTCTTTCCTTCCATTTAACCAAGCAAAGATCGACTATCTGACTCTGAATATCTATATACAGTATGTCAGACTAGACCTTATGGAGAAACATCATCGTCTCGTTTGATAGGAAACTTGTGTCATTGACTAACCTTTATTCTGTGGACACTTTCACCACTAAAGAAGAGGGTTACCCCTTCTTTGTGTTTCTTGTTTGGTCCCCTGTTTGTTCTCTCTCTCTCTGTTTGTGTGTGTTTTTTTGGGCGTGGCACTCAATCTCTCTCCTGCTGCAATTAATCTGCACACCTGAGACTCATCCAATCAAGCTTCTGGAGCATATCTACCCCGGGTCTTCTCTCCGGTCCTTGGCAGATCATTCAGTTCGCCAATGTGGTACTAATACCGCTGCCAGCTTGGACTCTAGTAAACGTTTCCTTGTGTTACATGAACTCTGTGCTTCCTTCCTGGGCCTCAGGTCCATTCCCTGCCTGAGAGCTGTGCCTGCCTGCCTCCCAGTCCCCGGCCCAGCTCATCCTGCTCTGCTCTCTGAACCTCCGACTCTGTTCCAGCTGGCTAAAGTATCCTCTCCTGCTTGTTCAAATGAACTCCACTTTGACTTGTTACCTTGAAAAAGGGACACTATCCGGCTTTACCCAAATATAAACGGCGAGGATAAACATCTGTCATACTAAATATAAATAACACCATGCTGTTAATGTCTCCTCTCAGTCTCTCACACGGTTTCCTGTCCAGCCTTGACCTACTACCAGAGTGGGAGTTTTGTTGTGTCGACCCTTGTGCCTTCATTTTTCCAGCACATTTTGATGTTTGAGTTTCAGTTTCCTCTCGGGCCTCACAGAAAGTGTAACATTCTTCCACAACTTTTTTTTTTTTGTGACAAAAGTGACTTTTTAGCTGAAAGAAATGTTAAAGAGCATCAGCTGCTACAGAGAAGCTTCAATTAACAACTATGTTTATTCTTGATTAGTCACTAGAAATCTGTTTTTTTTTTTTCTTAAAAAAAAAATTGATAAAGATCAAATCCAGACATGTAAAGCCATATAAAGGGTTCTCCCTGTGTGTGTATATATCTTTTTTCACTAAAAAGTTTTCATCTTCTCCATCATTGGGAAATCCAGAATATATACACATATTCATTTGACAACTGGAACAAGGTGTCTCCTCCTTCCCTGAAAAGTCCACTCTCGGTGTCTGTGCATTGATGCTGGAACCAGAGAATCTTTATCATTTATTTAGACACTTAATTATCAAAGTCGTTATTGATTCATTTTCTGATTAATGGACCACCCAAGTGTTTCAGCTGCATACACGCCTGAGATTGTTTTGGCACAGTGAGTAAACGCTCTCTTGAATGTTAATTTTTTCCCTCACTGTCTCACATTAGCATCTGTGCTTTGTTCTCACAGCTGCCATCCATGTTCACCCTATTGCACAACTGGGAAACAATCTAATTCATCCATTCCTTTGGTCTGTTTCAAGTTGTGCAGTTTCTCACAAAGGCAACCATTTCATGGAAATTATATTAAGAAATTCAACAAATGGGAAAGCGAAACTAAGACCTGACTACCACCTTTTATGGGGTTGATTTTGGATCCCATGCACTTCTTGGGGGGGATTTACAGTCAGTGACAACATAAACTAACTATTGGATGAGAAACATGACATGTTTAAACACTTAAGATTATTGACTTCTCTGGGAGTGAGTCCAACAAACATATAACTCCTCGATTTCGAAACATGGGCAATTAAAAAACAGAGTTGAAAGGAAACACCCCCCCCCCCCCCCCCTTCCCCCTGCCACTCAACAATGTGTTATGCAAAGTGAACCTGCAGGCCAGGTTTCTCAGGATTTCCAGCTTACACAGGGATAGGATTTCTTCTAAACAATTGCATAATTATTCCTTTGTGCTCCTACTGAGGACTTATTCGGTCATTTCAGATGAAGTGAATGATTTAATTGCAGTTTCTAAACACATTCGGCTGCTTCTTGTCCTGACAGGCCCCACTTGGAGCCGACATCCGGCAGCTGCTCGGTGCTGCCAACAAGCGCCACTAGATGGAGCGTGTATGCTTTCAAAAAGGGAGCAATCCGCGGCTCAGTGTGTGGTTGCTTGAAGAAGTTAAACAGTTTGACATTACTGGCACATCTGCAAACTACTGAGTACATCTTAAATATGGAAAATAATAATAGGAATGAAAACTGAGATAATATCAGCGATGGAAGAAGTACTCAGATATGTTATCTCAGTAAAAGTAGTACTACCACAACGTAGAAATATTGTGAAAGTAAAAGTCACGTATTCAAAGATTTACTTAAATAAAAGTACATCACTGTTCATCATTTGATTGGATTATAACTATTCATGCATTGTGTACATCACTTGTACCCAAAGACGTCAAATAATCGAATTCTTCACAAAAAGATTGAAGAAAAGTATGTTTTTGCAGAACTTTGTTTTTTCTTCTTCCCTCTCAAATGTCATCATCTCATGACCCCTCAGATTTATCTTGAGACCCTCCAGAGGGGCCTGACCCCCAGGTTGAGACTCGCTGTACTGAACTACTTAAGTGTATATAAAGTAAATAAAACTAGCTCTGATGTATTTTTACATTGTGGTTCTTTCACTCAAGTAAACAATGTGAGTCTGAGATCTGATCTTTTTGACCTACTAGAGATCCTGTCATTATTAAAAGGAAGACGTGAGAGAGTTTGTGCCGGGGTCAAACCACAGGAAGGAGGAAACAGAAGGCCAAATGAATGAAAACATTCCTTCATCACCAAGTATACTAACCTGTGGCCTGTTACTGCGCACATCCTGTGTCAGCGAATAATGGCCTGGATGGACTGTTTGGTTTAGTAAACAAAGGAGTGCAATCTTTTTGAAATATCTGTCTGAGATGATCGAGCCTGGGGGAACTCCTGTGCCTTCTTTCATGTAGTGTTGTAGCTGCACGAGAAGTGGACAAAGAAGCACTATGACGCCGTGTCACGATAACAGATACTACAGTAAGAGTTGTGCATTCAAAAGATCCATTTCAAAGATGGTGTTAAAATATTGATGGAACATGTGAGCAACATTGTGGCGTTGTTGTTGGTGCAGGTGATATGTCACTTTTTATATGCAAATCTATTCAGTTGAAGAATTACGTTCTCTGAGAAGTCTGACACGTCTGAAATGTATTACATGTATATATATATATATATATATGTTCTGGAGCTTTTGATCATGTCACATGATCTTCATCAGTTTGTTTCTGACTTCTCGTCCAGGTTGGCAAACTCCGTCTGCTGATGATACAGACTATCTGATAGAAGTGTGACTGAAAGCTCTGGGACAGCTACTAAATGGACCTTGTGTCGAGACAGATTTCTCAACTGCTGATTTCAAGCTCAAGAACGTCTGTTTTAATGAGGTGTTGAATCACCTTTATGTTCATTTTGGAGGCTGTGGTTTGTGTTACCTCTGAGCTGTACTTACTGCGATTATATTACAGGAGGACATATGCTTTGTTACTCCCCACTGCTGCACATGAGCCATTGTTTATGTCTGAGGAGCAGCGCAGACACCAGGTACTTAAACTGCTAAATGTCAGTAGGGTGTTTTAGTGTTGGCTACAAACCAGAAGAGGATCTTCTGTTATCCGACACTCCTCTGGGGGACAAACGGGGATCGAAGATGGATGGCCTCGGGCTCCCCCCCCTGTAAACATGAAAATGCCTCGCTAGCAGAGCAGCTACAAGTCAGCAGGATGTTGATATTATTCTGCCCCCGACAGGTTCTTACAGGGCCCCGCTCTCATCCACACCACACACGATATTAAAAATGCTGACATGGACACCGGCTGCTGAAGAAAACCCCAGAGTCATCAGACTATCTCTGTGTCCCTGAGGTATGAGAGCAACTACTAACTTTCAGAGCTTTATATATTGTTCAATCTGTGTGTGATGGATGTATACAGAAGCATATTTGTCAATGTAAAATTAAACATAAACATAACATTCTTTGCTTAGCTAAAGCATATAGAATATAATGGAATATGAACATGTACAATATGTAAAGATTAGACTCATCCTTTCAGTCATGGTGGTTATTCTAAAAAAGAACGGCCTTCTGTTCAATGCACAGCAAAACCTTCAAATAAGGGCTTAAGAGGGGTTGATGTTAAATATGAACATTTCATCATGACCCAAAATAAAGGTTAGTTTTACAGCAATCTCCAGAATTAAACGTTTACTATTCATTTTGCCTTGATTTTTTTTAAAGTTGCACTAATCCATATATTTATAATAACAATGTTTCACATGGCTGTGTAGTGAAAGTCGTTAAACAGACACTCATTTTCCCCTCAGCTCTATGGAGCTCTTTCAGGTCATTGTTTGGGTTTTTCCCAAAGATTTGGCCTTATATCCACTCATATTTATAGTTATCTTGTTTTATCATCCGAAGCAGTAAAAATACATAACGGGTATTACAATCTGCTGTTTGCAACTATTTGACAATGTCTGTAGGAGTCATTTTGTTTGTATTGTTGAAAAACTAAGAACCACAAGGTGTCGCAGTTTGAGTTTTAAATGACGTTTTCATGTCGTGCGCTTTTTGAATACTTTGATGCATGCGTCGAACTGTATATTCTTTATTTTGTTACAAGCGAAACGCACTGCGCATCGCACGCGCACTCCACTCATTCATTCACTCCCTCTCGTGTGTCAACACGGACCAAAGACCTTCAATGAGCCCAACTCACCAAGTAAGTGATGCATGTTCCAGTGGATATTATTGAAGCGTGCCCCTGTAGGCGTTTATCAAGCTTAACTTAAATTTTAAATTTGAGCAAACTTTTAGTAAAATATTTTTTGCTTTTAGACTTGTCAATTACAAAAACTCCACAAAACGCAAATGTTAGTCAAACTGTGTTTTATTTTTTTAAGCAACAGCAGGAAAACACAAGTTTTTCTTTAGAAGCGAGCCATGATTTAATAATGAGCCAAAATCAAAATTAAGTAAATTTACAGCTGATTTTATCCTGACAGCGATTTGTATAAAGGTCAATGGTTTGTCTTATCAAATGAAAAAGTTGAACATTTATTTTAGGATGAGGGTGACTCAGTGAATGTTTCTTTAATAACATTCAGGGACTGATTTTTCCTTAAAGTGCAAATGAGTAAATATTTCATTTCTACGATCAAAGGATGTAATTTACTCTGCATGTCCATAACACACTCATGCACTCTTAATTATGCACACACACACACACACACACACACACACACAGCTCATTAATATCCCTGTAAACAAACAGAATTTCCTGAATAATAGCACGGAAAGAGGACAGTCCACATTAACATCTGTAGGCAGGATAAAGTGGGCAGTTGTGTTCACATGCAGCAGATGTTTATCGAATCCCCCCCAAGAAGAATCTCAAATTGAATGAAACATTAATGTACGTGTAAACATGCTCTCTGTCTGTGTTATGTTGCGCTACAGTAAACAGTCATGCCCATGGTTCTAAAATAATACAAAAGGATGAGAGCTATACATCTATAATTAAAAAAGAAGACTAGTCAAAAACTAACTGTTGCAGTTTACTCATGCCACAACAAAGATTCATGTGCACGCTGTAGCACCACAGAAGAAAAGATAAAAGCAGATCTGTTTGTAATCGCTTCATTGTCTGAGTGCGCCTTTTTAAAAAAACGAGTGGGCATCTTTCTCGAGACTTGTGGTCTGATTCACAAATAGAATCATACACAAGCCAACGGTGGACTACATAATCTGGGGCAAGTCCTATTTGCTGAGGAAAAAATAGATCCTCTGCTCACCATCTGTGACTAAAGGGGCCTAACAAGACCTGATAAGAGGCAGTAATCAGTTCATCGGCAGCTCCTGCCCAAACACTGTGTGTGTGTTGTGTGTATCTGCCTGAGGTTGTTCTCTACACAGCTGCAGCACTTATAGCAACACTAACGCTGGAAGTTTAAATTCAAATTGATTCAGTATGTGTCATTTACTTACCCGCCATTTATTTGACAATAATTCCTGAATAGATACCGTGTCCCAACAGAAAACAAAATGGAAGCATCTTTTATGTGAACATAATCTCACTGCAGTTGAGTTGTGACTATAAAACTTATGCATCATAACGAAAATGTCAGTAGGATATTTAGTTACTGTGACTTATTCTGACAGCCACAGAAATGGGGCAGGAGGGGTGACGTTGTCGGAGGGACCAGCTGGATAAATGTGCTCGGGGAATGTGAATTAATAACGCTCCCCCCCTTCCTCGAGCGATTCTGTTGAGGTGCCCTTGTGCAAGGCACTTAACCCCCAGTGGAAAATAGCAAATAATGGGAAGCATCAAGGTGTGAGAGCACAAAACGTTAGGAACATAAAGCGCTGGGAAACGGCAAACACGTTCAGTTCAACTTCTCCTGGATAAGTGACGGTTAACTCATCCTCGGATAACTTCTTAGTGTAACCACGGAGCGGCCTGCATCACATGGCTGAGTGTAGGTGGAGTATCCAGAGGGACATACAACACAGTTACTTATTTGGAAGTTATTATAAGGTGATACTGGGGGATATAAGGGGCAGCTCTGGGCGATCACCTCCCACAGAAGTGCAGTGGCACATTTTTTGAGGCGTTTTCTTCTCCACAGCCCCAGGCCCGAAGCTCCAGCCTGTCCTCCTCCTCCTCCTCTTTGTCATCTTTCTCTCCGTCTCCCTCCTCGTACAGACTGGGCTCCTCCACAGACGTCTCCATGTTTGGGTTGTAGCCCCTGAACGCCTGCGCCTCCTTGTACTCATAAATGGTGGGGAGGCTGCTGCGTAAGCCGAAGCGACGCCGCAGGGCCACAAGCAGCGGCTGCGGCACGGTGAAGATATCCACATTGTTGCCCAGGTCGACCCAGGCCAGGCTGGGGAACTTCTTAGGATCCTTCACCGCATCCGTCAGGTCTTTCAGGATGGCCATCGTCAGACGGTTGCCATTGAGGGCTAGTGTGGTCAGTTTCGGCAGGCAGCCGAGGTGGGGCAGCAGCAGCCGCAAGCTCTCGTCCTGCAGCTCGGTGAAGCTCAGGTCCACAGCCGACATGGCGTCACTGCTACTCTGGAGGTAGAAGGCCACGCGGTGGACGTCTCGGCCAGACAGCGGGATGCCTGACAGGTTGACGACATCACCGGACAGTTTCTTCTTCAGGGTGGTCTTCAGACTGTTCGACAAAGAGGAGATGAAAACAAATTCATATCACTTTGTTTACAAGTTGGGTCTCTGAGGCACAACATGGCATGCTAATTATTCAGCACTAGCAGTTAGTTTTCCAAAACGGTGTAAAAACAAACAATCTTTACTTAATGATACCGGGGCTATTCATTTTAAAAGGTTCTGTAATGGGGTGCCACAACGTCCCACAAGTACAGGAGAACTGCAAAGTACGCAAAAAAAGATAACCGCATCCACCAGTAGAGAGAGGAGAGAGTAGCATTCAATAATGTAAAGAAGAGAATTTGCATTTAAATGTGTCCCGGTCCCTCAAGCAACCAATTCTGTCTCCTGGGCTAAATGTCATTTACTGAAGAGCACCAGCTGTTTCGGGTGTCACTTCTTTCCTTTAAAGCCATCTCTAAGCCAGCTCTCTAAGTCTGTGAGTATGAAACAACCATCAAAGACCATAAATATATAAATAAATGATTAGAAAACAGAGTGAACAAGGCAAAAAAAAAAAATGTTTTGCTCTTCGGTCAGGGCCAATTAGTAACGGATATGTCAACTTGTTTTGAGCTGGGCATGTGTCTGAGGTATTGTGGGTGACACATGAATAAGCCACTTGAGCTGATGAGCGAGTAAAAAAAACAAACAAACATGAGAACTCACTGGTGTGATCTCCTTCTCCAGGGGTGCAACGGGAAAGAAATTCAGCCCTGGAGCCAAGGATGTTAGCACAAGTTCAAAGAACTTGGTTGTGATTGGCCAGTGAACCCAGTCCCGGACCATGCGCGCAGCATGCCACCCCCCGAATGACAGGCACACAGCGAGGGCCGGTAAAGAGACGGAGAGGGCCGGGCGGCCGGTCAAACTTTATGGACTTTTTGACGGTGCACCGGACCACCAATGCAGCGGCCCAGCAAGATTTGTCCCAATATGCCAGATAGCCAGTACACACCACTGCCCTTCTCTAATGTTGCAGTCAGTATCAGATCCTGTAACATCTTCAGACTCATGATGGACAGTTTAAAAAAAAAAAAAGGATCAATAGTGATACAGAAGAAATGGAGATATTGCCTTTTTCCCCATATATTATTTTTCCTTGTCAAAACCTGGCACCTACATTACCCACAATGCACCCAGACACCTCTGTGGGAAATTTGGGTGTGTAATGCTAATAGCGGCTAACGTATCCTCGCCTCAAGCACAGGAGACGTCTGGTAGTCTCATTCAGTACTGCTAATATCTTCATATTTATTGTACACACAAGAGTTATATTTACCTTCTCATCTAACTCTCAGCAAGGAAGAAAAAGAGCAAATAAAATAAAATGTTGAACTGAAATGGTAGATGATGGTGGATGGACGAACACACTACTGGGACAAAAATGGTAAGTGATCTTCTAATTCAGTCCAAATGACTTCAGACAACAGGTGTGAGGTGAATCCATCTGAAGGAAAAATACTACTACCCTCACTGGAACATTGTATTCCACACTGCCTCTGATAGCACTCTGCAATCTGAAAGAAAATGTCTCGCTATACCACAGAGTGGCTAAATATGCATAGGAGAGCTATGAGGAAGCTGCATGCATGTCACAACGGTAGCACAAGAGAGTAAGCTGCAGAACATTAGACTCCTATTTTCACTGGTATTTAGACATCTGCCATACAAATGACAATGAGGTGGAAGCTTGGGAGACTTTGTTTAAAAAATTACACAAACGGGAGAAAAACTTTGTTTCACGGTTTATCCTCTCTTTGTCTTAGTCCTGTCTGCCTGCACTCGTCCCTCTGCCTCCTCAGGCACGCTGAGGATTATCCTCGTATCTCTCTGCTCGCTGGTTTGTCTGGGAGCCGTAGGAATCGTCAGGCTGTGGCTGTGCTCTTTACATCCGTCACCCTTTCTGCTCTGTTAAGGGAAAGAAAAAGATCCGTAGCACACCGGGGCGGTGATTCGCAAGATATTGATTCCAGGAGTAGACTATAATTCTTCTCTCCCACCTTCATATGCTGACTATATTGCTCACTGCCTTTCACTTTCTTTTTCTTGGCCTATTTTCTCCCTTTTATAATTTCACTGTCTGTCTTGTTCTAAATGTGATCTTCTGAAGCACCTGTGCCCTCTTTTATTTTTCTCTTTTGAAAGGTTTACTGTATTTGTAAGTTTATTAAAATGATCATCTAGCTACCTGAGCCTCTACGAATATATTACAGTTTAAAATATTTATGATGTGAAAATGCTGCCTGTATGTGTTCCCCTCAGCTATTTATTCAACATTATAAGGCTGTTAATAACGATTGTTTTCATTATACATTCATCTGTTTCGACCAATAATGTAATTGTTTATTCCAATGGTTCCCACGTTGCGTCTTAAGGGTTGTGAGATGATTACAGGTTGTTGTTTTTTTCAATTGCTGACATGCATAGGTCAAAACTCTTCACACCGTGGACCAAACTTTGAATCATTTTTCAGCGATTGCACACAAAACGCCTTCAGAATGATTTAGTTTGAAAACATGGATCACAGAAGACGGGTGTGGGGGAAGTAGAGTGGCAGCGAGAGGAAGGATGTGTGGAGGACAAAGAGAGGAAGACCAACGATGGTGGTCTCTGTTGAGATAATGGCCACAATTATTGACCATTTTTTAAACCACGACCTCTCTTTGACATATTTGGAATTTCAGGTATTCGCTTTTTTTTGTTTCAATTTTTCATTTTGCACAAGTGAATATGCAAGGATATAGGAAAAATACAGGACATTAAAGCAAATTGCTGCATTTATGATTCATTCTTGTTACACATAATTTAGTACAGTCAATAAAGTGAAAAGGTGTTATTCCGCTTCTATAATTTAATACTGATGTATTTGATAAGTCATTAAAACTTCAAAGATAAAAGTTAATGATGTATGTGATGCTCCCTGTTCATGTTTTTTAAGTCGGTGTGTTATAAGTCACAATGTTTCCTTTCTGAGTGACGCTTGTTTTGGTCGAACCATCTTGAGACATGTATGCTAACAGTAAAAAAGCTAACATACTGTTGTTGGCTCTTAATGAACCGCTAAAGAATCCCCAAACTTATTACAATTCATAATGCTTGACCCATTCCTTAAATAATAGATTTTTAAATTGATGTTGATTCATTTTATATCAATTCGACTAATGAATTAATTGACTAATCATGTCAGCCCTCAGACGTTATTGACTTTGACTGTAGCGTCTGAACATGCCAGGAAAGTGAGTGCATCTGCAGCTTCTTGGCCCACTCCTGTGATTTCAGAGGGTTTACTGTCCCCCTGTGCAGCTTCTGCACTTTACTGTAATGAAACGGATTATGGGTATCGACGTTTGTTCTCTTGGACGTATTTACAGGAGGGTTTTCCTACTTGTGCCCTCCTCTCTCACCTGGTTGCCTGTGTTTGTGTCGGAAGAGCTGTTTCATGAGACCAAGTCAGGCCGGGTAGTCAGTGGCACTGTGGGTGAGTAGGTGGTGCAGGGGGGGGGGCTTTAATGTGCTTTTAATGAGACAGAGTAAAGACGACTTCAGACTTCCTTCCTGCCTCCTGACTCCGTGGGCAGAGTTCCACCCACAGGCTGCTCAGCTGGCCACAGGCCCAGGGGCACAGCTAGCATTTCTAAAGCCACAGTGTACACTGTAGTCAATTACCATGAAACGATAACGACATAAACAACAAAATGTCTCATCTCACGCCCTCTGATGTGGCTGCCATGCTCATAGGCAGAGGTGCAGATCCTCTTGGACCAGTTCGAGCACAAACGACTTCAAAGGATAGTGTTCTCCCATAAACATGACTCGAAACAAGAGCATCCCCTGCATCGGGACTCATTTAAAAGCAAACGACTGAGGGAAGTCTATTTATTGACATCTCCGGAGAAACCGATACAGCGATCCAGGAATGTAATGGGAGCAGACTCTCATATGTCAAACTATCGGCTGCTTAAATGTGGGTTCAGGCAGACTATCTAATTGTTTTTCATATATTGTCTTTCCTCGGGGATGTTGTTAACTTTCACGCACTGAACAAGGGTCCTTGCTGTTCTATAGTTATGTAAACCCCAGAGGTAGGAAATAAAACATCTGGGCTTTGTGATGTTTAAATGGAGTGCAGGCAAACAGACCAAGCTTACAGAAGGTCAGAACAAAACCTGACGATGTGTCTTTGAATCGTTTCAATGAAAGTGTTTTGAGATACACTGTTAAAGAATCGGTGATACAATCTGTATTCAAACTGCAGCGGATAGAGTGCATGGTGATATTTGAATAACAAATCTACAGCGGCTTGATCTATCTCGCAGGCTGCCAGTGTTGCTACAGAGATTTGCTCAGACAGCCTCGACAAAACACTTGTGCTCCAGTGGTCTCTTTCCACAGCCACAGTAAAAATATGTTTTAAAATTGAAATGTACATTGCTAATTTCAGATAATTTGTGAACTGGTACTTTCCCCCGATATTTACCAGATTAAATAAAATGTAGTATAATATAAAAATATTATATAATCTATATCTATACAAAAATATTGTATCGAACAAATCTCCACTTGTTAAAGATCTTTAGAAAGGTTTGTCAGACTGCTCTTAGTGTGACCAATGATCTCTTCATTGCTGCTGATGCCATCTGAATTTGCAGGACTTGCAGACACTGCTCTCAAATGGTTCATCTCCTTCCTCTCAAACAGCCAATGAACAGTTACACCTGTTGATTTATGTACTGCCCTTATGAACATGTTGAGTACCTCAAGGTTCTGTCCTAGATCCACTTCTATTTCTTATCTACGTGCTTCCACTTCAATAATACACAACCATAATGATTATTTTCATTGCTATGCTGTTGACATGCAACTCTATGTTGCTGTAAAATCAGGAACTACCAGCAGTCCGATATCCTACAGAGCTGTCAGACTGACATCCTTCAACTTCATTTCATTTGAGTCATTTAACTCATTAGACTTTAATGATACATTTCTGTCTTGTGACTTGTAACA